CAGTGTCTGTCAGGATGAGCTTCCTCAGCACAAAACCCAAGCAGGGGCTCAACAAGGTTCAGGTTCCGCCAGGTACGCAGGGGCCAGGCTGAGCGGCAGCTTGTGACCATCAGAGCCCGGTCCCTCCTGCTCTACCACCAGGCCCTCGGAGCTTCCTCTCGGGGGCTCCTGTCGCTGATGAGGGGCCGGGGGCCGCTGACCTCAGGCGCCCACTCAGAGGTCCCGTCTGTCCCCTGGACCGAGAGTCCTCCTGGGGCCTCGCCCAGGCGCTGGCCGCCCGGCTCACGTCACGCCAGAGTCCTCCCTGAGGTTGAGGAGCAGCTGGGTTCCTGCTGCCCTGGCCCACAGGAAGGGGAGAGGAGAGCACCTTTGGCGCGGATTACGGGCCCGATGGCGGCAGCCGTCTTTCTGGGGGTCCCGGTCCGAAGCCTGAAAACAATTTATCTCCACTGATCTCAAAACTCTACTGAAATGGCCTGCTCTCCTTTTATAAATCCACGAAATAAAAATAATGAAAATGCAGAAAGCAAAGAGCGTTCCCTCACCTGCACGGTGTCACGGGAGCTGAGGTGCTGGGGGACGCAGGGCTCGGGTCCAACTCTGCAGGGACAGACAGATGGCGGACGCACGGGGGTGGAAGCCAGGCGTGAGCACGCAGTGTGCGGGCCCCAGGACCCTGCGGCAGGATTCAGGGCAGCCTCGGAAACAGAGCAAGAAGTGAAAGTCTCTGTAGGAAGATTGGGGCTCCAGATGCTCAGCCTCGCGCCCCCCTCGCCCAGCGGAAGGGGCGCTCCGCGTTCAGGACCCAGGGGGGTGGGAGGCAGGAATGCCCAGTGCAGGGCGAGGCCCTCCGCCTCTGGTTCCCAAGCTGCTGTGACCACAGCCTCGGCCTGCGTGTGTCCCCCACGACCTCCAGACAGGAGCGAAGCCCCCCCAGAAATCTGCAGGCCCCCGAGACAGGCCTCAGCGGGAGATACTCGGAAGACAACCAGCCATTTAAGGGAAGCACTAAGTAACATGACAGAAAGCAAAACAGCCTTCAAAAAAGAAAGAAAACCTTGGAGAAAACAGACATTTCTGGAAAGAGAAATTTTTTTTAATTTGTCATCCGATAGAAAAGGAGAATAAATGGAAGAGTATGACTTAGTCTCTTCATAATCCAAGAAAAATCAAGAAAACAAGAAAGATATCTTTGAAACAAAGACAAGTGAAATAAAAAGTTCAGTTAGAAGGTTAGAGTGTAAAGTTGAGGAAATCTCTCTTAAATTATAAAATGAGAAAAGAAGACAATTTTTAAAAACTAGAGGAAGAATCCGTGGGGCTTTCCAGCCGGCTAACAGGAGTCTCCAGCAGGTGGGAGAAGAGAGGAGCGAGGAAAGAGACTCAGCATGGAGAGGGCAGGGGAAGCATCGCCGGGCACAGGCGCTGAGGGCTCCAGGCCTTGGTCAGCAGCTTCCGTCTCCAGGGGATGAGCTTTGAGAAGGCGCCATCGAGGAACCAGAGTGACCGTGACAGGGCACATGCTGGAAAAGGATCCCCAGAGAGCTGCAGAACCAGGGCAAGAAACCCTCCTCGGGCGCCACCTGGGGGCTGGGGGCTGGCGCTGGGACTTAGGACACTGTCCCCAGGCCGTCCTGCCGGGTGACCCTCCCGCTGGGTGACCCTCCCTCCTGATGACCCTCCTGCCAGGTGACCTTCCCACCGGGTGACCCTCCCTCCTGATGACCCTCCCGCCAGTTGACCCTCCTCTTGATGACCTTCCCTCCTGATGACCTTCCCTCCTGATGACCCTCCTGCCGGGTGACCCTCCCTCCTGATGATCCTCCTGCCAGGTGACCCTCCCTCCTGATGACCCTCCCGCTGGATGACTCTCCCTCCTGATGACCCTCCCACCGGGTGACCCTCCTGCCAGGTGACTCTCCCTCCTGATGACCCTCCCGCCGGGTGACCCTCCCTCCTGATGACCCTCCCACCGGGTGACCCTCCCTCCTGATGACCCTCCCGCCCGGTGACCCTCCCGCCGGGTGACCCTCCCTCCTGGTGACCCTCCCTCCTGATGACCCTCCCGCCGGGTGACCCTCCTGCCAGGTGACCCTCCCTCCTGATGACCCTCCC